AGTATACATCGGTGGGGTGTCCATTATACATCTTTTGGAGTATCTATTATACAGATTTGGGATGTCCATTATACATCTTCGGGGTTTCTAGCATACATCCTTGGGACGTCCATTATAATCTTTGGAACGTCCATTATACATCTTTGGGTTGTCCATTATACATCTTCGGGGTGTCTAGTATACATCGATGGGATGTCAATTGTACATCTTTTGGAGTATCTATTATACATCGATGGGATGTCCATTATACATCTTTGGGATGTCCATTATACATCTTCGGGGTGTCTATTATACATCTTCAGAGGTGCTCATTATACATCTTTGGAATGTCCATTGTACATCTTCGGGGTGTCTACCATACATCGATGGGATATCCATTATACATCTTTGGGATGTCCATTATACATCTTCGGGGTGTCTAGTATACATCGATGGGATGTCCATTATACATTTTTGGGATGTCCATTATACATCTTCAGGGTATCTAGTATACGTCGGTAGGGTATCCATTATACATCTTTTGGGAGTCCATTATACATGTTTGGGGTGTCCATTATACATCTTTGGGATGTCCATCATACATCTTCGGGGTGTTTAGTATACATCGGTGGGATGTCCATTATACATCTTTGGGATGTCCATTATACCTCTTCGGGGTGTCTAGTATACATCGGTGGGATGTCCATTTTACATCTTAGGGATGTCGATTAAACATCTTCGGGGTGTCTAGTATAAATCTTTGGGATGTCCATTATACATCTTCGGGTTGTCTAGTCTACATCTTTAAAATGCCCATTATACATCTTTGGAATGTCCATTATAGATCTTCGGGATGTCTAGTATATATCCGAGGGATGTCCTATATAAATCTTTGGGTTGTCCATTATACACCTTCGGGGTGTCTAGTATACATCAGTGGGGTGTCCATTATACATCTTTGGGATGCCAATTTTACATTTTCGGGGTGTCTAGTATACATCGTAGGGAGGTCCATTACAAATCTTTTGGGATGTCCATTATACATCTTCGGGGTGTTTAGTGTACATCGGTGGGGTGTCCATTATACATCTTTGGGATGTCCATTTTACATCTTCGGGGTGTCTAGTATACATTTTTACGGATGTCCATTATACATCTTTAAAATGCCCATTAAACATCTTTGGAATGTCCATTTTACGTTTTCGGGGTGTCTAGTATACATCGGTGGGAGGTCCATTACACATCTTTTGGGAGTCCATTATACATGTTTGGGGTGTCCATTATACATCTTTGGGATGTCCATTATACATCTTTGGGATGTCCATCATACATCTTCGGGGTGTCTAGTATACATCTTTGGGATGTCCATTATACATCTTTGGGATGTCCATTATACATCTTCGGGTTGTCTAGTATACATCAGTGGGGTGTCGATTATACATCTTTGGGATGCCAATTTTACATTTTCGGGGTGTCTAGTATATATCGGTGGGATGTCCTTTATACATCTTTGGGATGTCCATTATTCATCTTTTGACTGTCCATTACACATCTTTTGGGATGTCCATTATACATCTTCGGGGTGTTTAGTATACATCGGTGGGGTGTCCATTATACATCTTTGGGATGTCCATTATACATCTTCAGGGTGTCTAGTATACATCTTCGGGATGTCTAGTATACATCGGTGGGATGTCCATTTTACATCTTAGGGATGTCCATTATACAACTTCGGGGTTTCTAGTATACATCGGTGGGGTGTCTATTATACATCTTTAAAATGCCCATTATACATCTTTGGAATGTCCGTTATAGATCTTCGGGATGTCTAGTATATATTCGTGGAATGTCCTATATAAATCTTTGTGATGTCCATTATACATCTTCGGGGTGTCTAGTATGCATCTGTGGGGTGTCCATTATACATCTTTGGGATGTCCATTATACATCTTTGGGATGACCATTATACATCTTCGGGGTGTCTAGTATACATCTTTGGGATGTCCATTATACATCTTTGGGATGTCCATTATACATCTTCGGGGTGTCTATTATACATTGGTGGGTCGTCCATTATGCATCTTTGGGATGTCCATTAAACACCTTCGGGGTGTCTAGTATACATCGGTGGGGTGTCCATTATACATCTTTTGGGTGTCCATTATACATCCTTGGAGTATCTATTATACAGATTTGGGATGTCCATTATACATCTTCGGGGTTTCTAGTATACATCTTTGGGATGTCGATTATACATCTGTGGGATGTCAATTATACATCTTCTGGGTGTCAAGTATACATCTTTGGGATGTCCAGCATACATCGTCGCTGTGTCTAGTATACATCTTTGGGATGTCCATTATACATCTTCGTGGTGTCCATTATACATCTTTGGGATGTCCATTATACATTTTCGGGAGTCTAGTATACATCTTTGGGCTGTCCATTATACATCTGTGGGATGTCTATTATACATCTTCGTGATGTCCATTATAAATCCTTGGGATGTCCATTATACATCTTTGGAATGTCCATACATCATACATCTTCGGGGTGTCTATTATACATCGGTGGGATGTCCATTCTACATCTTTGGGATGTCCATTATACATCTTCGAGGTGTCTAGTATACATCGGTGGGGTGTCCATTATACATCTTTGGGATGTCCATCATACATCTTCGGGGTGTCTAGTATACATCAGTGGGATGTCCATTCTACATCTTTGGGATGTTCATTATACATCTTCGGGGTGTTTAGTATACATCGGTGGGGTGTCCATTATACATCTTTGGGATGTCCATTATTCATCCTTGGAGTGTCTATTATACATCTTTGGGCTGTTCATTATACATCTTAGGGGTGTCCATTCTACATCTTTTGGGATGTAAAAATTAGAAGATGTGGTATGATTGCCAATGAGATCATTCTCTATCAGAGACCAAATGACATACAAGTTAACAACTATAGGTCAACGAACGGCTTTCAACAATCAGCAAATCTAAACCGTATAGACTTAGGACAGGCACATAAGGAATGTCGTGGGAATAAACATGTTTGCTTGCGCTAAACCCTCCCCCTAACCTTGGACAGTTGTGTAGTAGTACGAAATAAGAATAAACTATAATAACAATTGAAAAGGACTTAAAAGATCAGATCGATACAAAGAACATAAAAAGTCTAACAAAAACACAAAAGACACAGCGTACAGGTCTGAAAGTACTCGCAGTTATTGAAAGATTGTTCAAAACTACAAACAACTAATAAAAAATCACGATTCAACGACTGAAATATCAATGAGTACACATCCAAAGGATTTAGTATAAAGACGGTATTAACAGTCAGAGAAAAACATGACCATGTACAAAGCCAAAATATAGGTATCGACAGATTACAGAACCGTGAATGTACATATGTGTATAACAATACAAATTTATTTTGGTTTGAATTTACTGATAAAGAAATCAATATTTATACTGAAAAAACAATATTTAAACAGTTAATTACAGTGTTGAACTGGTAACTTTTTAGAATAAGTGATGTCCTAGGTTTTGTTTTTAAGGTCTTATAAGGTCATACATCTGCACCTAATCATATTATTATTTCTTTCGGACAACTAAAATGTGCTGAAAACACCGATTGCCATATTCAAATCAACATTCGTAGATCTTTACGACAAATATTAAGCGTTCATCCGTTATGCATGACATATATTTAATATTCTACTTATTAGATAACACGCCATGAATTATTATTTATTGTTCGGAAAAGCGTTCTTCTATATTTTTGTTCAGGTTTCAGTGAGCTATATTTACTTCGCATCACGATAAAAACCAGGAACACAAATCTTATGAATGAACAAAAAGGATGTAAAGGACATCCCAAAGCTGTAGGGTATGCGTCAATGATACAAATACGACAAGATAGTTGTATGTCCTATTAAAAAATAAACATGTAAAAATCTCGGATTCATCTCTGGTCTTATTAAAACTATGCATTAATTTAACAAACTATATCGAACAAACTGAAGAATATACAGTAAATAACAAAGAGCTGACTATATATCAGCATCATGGAAAAGAAAATGCACAATGGGAAAGGAAAACTGTTCCGTTTCGTATGAAAATTACCATCAAACTTTCTTTTACTTAGATTTTAAGGAGTACATCAGTCATATTTGATACTTGATGTAGAAAGACAACACTTAATCAGAATACCAATCACTTGGCAGTAAACTTTATCCCACAAATAGAATAGGGGGGAATCGTGTATATGAATGTGTAGTAAGGAAATATCTGTCATTTATGTAATAGATTTTACTGTTAACAATAGAAAATCATTTATTTGTAATATTTTATTTCTTTGTCTGCATCCGTTATCCATCAAATATTAACAGATAATTTTTTAAAGGCTCTCTTTTCCTAGATAGTAAATAAATTAATCATACAGTTTATTAATTTTAAGTATTTATCCAACTTAATGTTTTTTTCTGTATTCTCAAGATTGCATTGCAGAGTAAAGCTTGTAAATAATTTAGAATTTCATCTAATCGATATAATGGAAAACAAATTGTTTTCTAATATTAAAATGTATTTCAGGGTAATGACATACTTATCACTACAGCTTGTTATTAACGTACAGGCATCTTGTGGCTTCATGAATGTTGGAAGTCTATTTTTCTATCTATATCCTAGGGCAAAAAAACATCTGTTCTAAAGACAAAATTATATTCAAACAATACCCCCGTTGATAGAAAAATGCATGCATTTCATTCAGTTTGTACAAACTGAGCATTATCCAAAACCATTAATAAAAAATTAAAAATAACAAATAATAAATGTGAGTTCTATTGTTATGTGGTATTGTTGTATAATCAGACAAACTATTTATCTATGATAAAAATAAAAATAGTATTTTCTACAACACCTAATTACATTTGTTTTCATCTAGAGGATGAGATTAGTTCAGTAATCAGCGTTTTTGGCTAAAGGAGGAGATTAGTTCAGTAATCAGCGTTTTTAGCTAGAGGAGGAGATTAGTTCAGTAATCAGCGTTTTCAGCTAGAAGAGGATATTAGTTTAGTGATCAGCGTTTTCAGCCAGAGGAGGAAATTAGTTCAGTAATCAGCGTTTTCAGTTAGAGGAGGAGATTAGTTTAGTAATCAGCTTATTCAGCTAGAGGAGGAGATTAGTTCAGTAATCAGCGTTGTACATGTAACTGGCACAGGCAATCTTAAATTCAAGATTCAATTGTATGTGTACGACTACAGCCACCTAAATCTGTTACAAAACGATCGCCTACATTCTTCACTTTTATTACTAATTCTACATTAAAGAACTGTTCTAGCTTACTAAAATGGTAAATTTCAACCATCACATAATGTACGACAATCAATAATTAGAAACAATGTATAGGACACATGTTTAACACTTACGAGGTCATCTCTAAAACAAAACAATCATTACAGTATATATACTGAAACATAGGATTTTTAAAAAGAAAGAAAATAACGAAACAAAGCACGTGTGAAATGTGAGTGAATTTCTTGAAGTTATTTAACACTGTGTACTTCTCTGAAAAGCAAATAGTTGATATCAGAGTCCATAGGTGAAATCCTAGAAGAATAAAGTTAATGAAGATTGTGAGGAGTTGCGAGAGTTGTGTTTGCCGTTTTTCACGCCTTACGGAAATTTTTCACGCAAGATTAACAAGAAATCGTGTTTAACCTTAACAAATACTTAAACCTATCACAATGCTGTAGTCTTCGACACGGATTTTTTTTATTGAGTCTCAGAAAAACAGCAGTAGAACAATTATCACACTTTTTGCAACAATATTCCAAGAAGTGTCTGATAAATGTAAACAATTGAGATATTGGTTTTATATGTATACAGTAGATATATTAAGATTTAGCTTTCTATGATATGCAACTTTTTTTAAAAAGTTTTTTGAACTATCTAAAGTGTCAACATGCTTTGTCTGTTTTTTTGTCAAAGACTCAAACTTTGACCCAAAGATTTAGGTAGGGCTATATGTGGAATCCTTAGCCAATAATGAGTTTCTAAAGGATATTTACTGCAGTTATACAAGATCCAACGACACTCACAATTCAAATATAAACAGCTGTATATAGTGTACGCTTCGAATTGGTAATAGAATTGTGTGATTTCATTTAATATTGCTTTAAGGCCTTCCGCAAAAAGTTCAATTTATAATGTGTAACTTGTTAGAGTCCAACATGTCCAACATAAATTAATACTCAATGTTTGATTGCAGTTAGTTTTGCATAAAGCTTTCATCGAACTGTTTGCTGTGTTTATAGTACGTTTTTTTTCTATTTGAAGTCTCATCTTTTCTTAAATCAGGAACTTTTGAAACACCCAAGTTAATCCCTCGTTTTGTTTCACAGGGGATGCATGTCCATATTTGCTATGATAATATTTCGATTAGTGCGCTATTTCTACGGGTAACAGTCGTGTCTTTTTTTGTCCACTAAAGAAAAACACAGTTATAATTTTCAAACGTTCACACTCGGATAACTTTTAGGATTAAACAATTTACAAGTCAAGATGGTTAATGAATTTTGTCGATGTCTTAGGGTTAAGCAAGAAATATTTACAGTTCCGTTTTTTTTTCATGCCATTCATTGGATATGATTCATCAACGATATGCATTTTGTATATCGTGCAACGCATGCCCATCACAAAACTTCTTTAATGATGTAAACAACAAATGTCTCATTTATAATTGGCTTATTTTAAAAACAAAATTGCAAGCCTTAACGACGCAAATTCTAGACCAAAAATTCCATCACCAAAAGACTTTGAACAAGATCCATGAATATGTCACGAATAAAAAATTACATTTGATCCAAGGTGACCCTTTCGGTATTAAAAAGATACTTTGATTCTCTCGATAGAACAGACTTCTTTGCAAAACAAATTGATGGTTTAACTTTACGAAAGTTATAAAGAATGTCTGGGGAATAGTGCAGAATATTTTCTCTTCAAAACAGGAAAATATGTTCTGTATATTCTTATAGAAAGCAGACGTTTTTACATGCCACAAAGGTTTGGCATGCCACAAAACCAGGTTCAACCCACCATTTTTTTTCTTAAAATGTCCTGTACCAAGTCAGGAAAATGACCATTGTTATATTATAGTTCGTTTCTCTGTGTGTTACATTTTAATGTTGTGTTTTTGTTGTGTCGTTGTTCTCCTCTTATATTTGATGCGTTTCCCTCAGTTTTAGTTTGTAACCCGGATTTGTTTTTATCTCTATCGATTTATGAGTTTCGAACTGCGGTATACTACTGTTGCCTTTATTTACCTTACATAATGTTAAAATAAATTATTAGAAAAAAAAACGGAACGAGACATGATCGTACGGTGACCTATAGTTGCTTAAATCCACGTCATTTTGACTCTGTTAGATGGGTGTTTCATTGGCAATCTTACAATATCTCCTTATTTGACATGAGCTGACGGGCGACAATGGCAAAAATACAAATAGCGACTTCTTTCAGTAACGGAATTATTTGACTAAAAATCACCGGCATCCGAATACATTTCTTACGTCTTTGGAAAAATAAGATTTGGATTTATTTTCAATTTCATCACAATTCCTTGGAATATTAATATTACGCCCTACTTTTTCTTATATATATTTATATATATTTACATCCCGAACAATCATCATCATCATAATTTTCCTCCTATAGCTATAGGAGATTGACAAAACACCACATACATATAATCTGTACAATTATAAAGTTTTGAATACATTATATGAGAATGTCAGTTAATATTTTGGATGGAAAATTTTTACAGGCTACAGTATTTTAGAAGGGAAATTATTTGTTAAGAACTACCAAACAATACTCTGGTGTTTGAATGCCCCAGAAATCTTCCTGATTGCCAAGTAGAAAACATGAAATGCTCTCGTCTAATACTGAAAACAGTCTGTATATGAAATTTCACTAATCAATTCAGTTAATCAATTATATAACAAGAGTCTCTGTGTTTGTAGTTCTGTGCACATACTGATTTGATGGTTCTGGGTATCTTGAACAAAGTGTCCACACAGTTTGCAGTTTCCTCTAGTCGGGGGATAAGCCAGAGGTTTAGCTACATGTTTCACTCACTGTTAAAAGTCTGCCAGTTATTTTAGCATATCGGTCTCAGTCAATCTTTGAAATCTGATAAAATCCAAGATCCAGTAGCGGCTTAGGCAAAATAAGCATATCGACCCTTTTTAAATGAATGCTGAATATCTACCGTTCTTAATATCCCGAGAAGCTTGAACACATTTACATTGATAGCAACTAGTTTGAATAAATGGTCCGTTTCATTTCTGTAGCATATAAGATGACATACTTTAGCGGAATAACTCAAATCTCCTTTTAAGTGAATAATCGTAAATAGAATTCAACAGAATTTGAGACCTTTGTGGTGAAGTACCGATATACACTACATCATCAGCAAATGATGAGGTACTTGTATCAATATTTGAAATGTTCGCTGTACCAACTAATTCTAGCTTATTTGATAGGTCACTAATGTGAACCAAGTAAATAAGAGTCGATAGTACACCACCTTGTCTAACACCTTGCTGGACTTGGAAGGGTACTAATACGTGTTCATTGACGTAAACGGCACTTTATCGCTATAATAATCAGAAATCACTTGTAGAAGTTTACAATCCTTTGATGTGTTTGAGCTTTTGATTTTGCCATTTGATAAGGGACTTTCCGATTTGAATTTTCCTTGGATTTCGGTATTTTTGTTATTTTACTTTTTATTCCGAGTCGGAACATTTTTTAAATAAGACCACTATGCCACGCCGTATCAAACACACGGGAACTGTCCAAAAATGCAATGTACACTTTGCATCCTAATTCTTAAAGGTTATAGATAGTTTTTAAAAGTTGACGGAGGCAGAACTACAACTAAGATCATTCAGAAAACCTTGTTATTGTGAATTATGGAACGAACCATTTTCCAAAGAGGGTAATAGACGCTTCTTTACGACAGTTTTGAACAACTTATAAAGAATAGCAATAGCGATGTAGAACAATAGTTTCGAATTCATACATAATTATTTTCCTTCCTTGGAGAAGGCCACTATTTATATTATATGACTTGAGTGTGCAATCTACAACTTCAGTCACATAGACATTAAAATTACTGTCAAATTTAGCGTTTTCGGTTGGTGTATAGACGTCAGCATAAAAGTCAGCAAAACCATTCGAAATATCTTCAGGAGATTTACACTGTCGGTTGTGAGGTAGTATTTCCGGAATTTGATTGGTTTTACGGCTTTTTTGGTGTGATATTTAGCGCCGTAAGAGTCTAACATCATACTGGGCAGTGTCGTCGATTACAAGCAAGTTTTATCCATATCAGTGTTGTATGCAGAACGTTGACGATTCCGAATTTCGTTTTTCGCAGATTTGTTTTTAACGTAGGAAAGAAAGGACACCCATCAGTTTCTGCCATCAATTTCTTTTGAGCTTTCTGAGCTTGTTTTACTTCAGGTAAACAAACGGCTAAGTTTTTAGATTAAAGATATTAGAAACTAGTGTTTATGTTGTTTTTTACAGATGTTTTTGAGGATCTCCATATATAGACTTATCAAGATAACATACACAACAGTTTAACTCTCAAAGAAATACATGCATTCATTTTCACATTACATGACATATACAGGTACAAATACGTAACTCTTTCTTGCTCATTTTATATTTCATATTATAATCCACCATTTTTTACATAAGGAAGTGCCTATATCAAGTCATGAATATGACAGTTGTTTTTCATTCGTTTGATGTGTTTGCCATGAAATAAGGGCATTCCCGTTTTGAATTTTCCTTGGAGTTCGGTATTTTTGTTATTTTACTTTTTATCAGTTTTCTTGCGATATAAAAAATGATATAAGTTTTAAATGCTATGATAAAAATGCATGATTTATGAAGCAAAATATGCTAGAATATATCAAATTCAATCAAATTTACCGTTTGTGAAAGGATGAAAAGCGTGTAAAACGACTCTAAAACACATTTCAGTGATGAAATCGAGGAAAATGTTATCTCTTTTTTTAAAATTCATTATTTGATTTACTACTGATACATATTTTTGTCTTTTGCGATTCTCTCTATATATCTCTTTTGTTCTCTCTCTCTCTCTCTCTCTCTCTCTCTCTCTCTCTCTCTCTCTCTCTCTCTCTCTCACATTTTTTGATTCGAGCGTCACTGATGAGTCTTTTGTAGACGAAATGCGCGTCTGGCGTCAATATAAAATTTCAATCCTGGTATCTATGATGAGTTTATTTACAACCACTGGGTCGATACCACTGCGGGTGGAGTTTTAATTTCCCGAGGGTATCACCAGCCCTGTAGTCAGCACTTCTGTGTTGACTTGAGTTATCATTGATATGTTCATAATTATAAATTAACTGTTAACAAAACTTTGAATTTTTGAAATACTAAGGCTTTTCTCCCTCAGGAATAGATTACCTTAGCTGTATTTGGCAAAACTTTTAGGAATTTTTGGTCCTCAATGCTCTTCAACTTTGTACTTTATTTGGCCTTTTTATCATTTTTTTTATTCGAGCGTCACTGATGAGTCTTTTGTAGACGAACCGCACGTCTGGTGTAAATATAAAATTTCAATCCTGGTATCTATGATGAGTTTATTTACAACCACTGGGTCGATACCACTACTGGTGGAGTTTTAAATTCCCCGAGGGTATCTCCAGCCCAGTAGTCAGCACTTCTGTGTTGACTTGAGTTATCATTGATATGTTCATAATTATAGATTAACTGCTAGCAAAACGTTGAATTTTTGAAATACTAAGGCTTTTCTACCTCAGGAATAGATTACCTTAGCTGTATTTGGCAAAACTTTTAGGAATTTTTGGTCCTCAATGCTCTTCAACTTTGTACTTTATTTGGCCTTTTTAACATATTTTGATTCGAGCGTCACTGATGAGTCTTTTGTAGACGAAACGCACGTCTGGCGTAAATATAAAATTTTAATCCTGGTATCTATGATGAATTTATTTATGTCACATGTGGAGCAGGATATGCTTACCCTTCCGGAGAACCTTAGACCACCGCCAGTTTTTGATGGGGTTCGTGTTGCTCAGTCTTTAGTTTTCTATGTTATTTTTTCTGTACTGTTATTTGTCTTTTTTTTTAACCATGGCGTTGTCAGTCTGTTTTCAACTTATGAGTTTGAATTTCCCTTTGGTATCTTTTGCCTCTCTTCTAATCTCTTAAGGTACAAAAAGACAATCGATACTTTTCAATTACTTATTTTTTTATCCATTTAAGGAAACAGTATAAAAAAACTATTCTGTTTATCACAATATAATATTCATAATTCAATATAAAACCAAGTTTCTTTCTTTTTACATCCATTGTTGTTGTTGCAAAATAGGCAAAAACGTCAAAACCTTGGCCAAATTGTGCACATGTTTTTCTTATGCGATGGTTAATGAAAATATGCAAATCCTTTGTCCTAAGAGTATTTAACTCATTCTTACTCGATAGTCTATGCATATTTATACAATTTATTTCGTGATTTAATCTATTATCTGTAGCACGTTTAATGTTTTTGTCACAATTCTGAATGATAATACAATTATGATCCATCGATATTCATAGCTCTCCTTATTAGATTTGTATATATGAACAGTTAATAATTCTTCAATGTATGACCACAAAGATTTGTGTCGTTAGTGAGACAGCTAAATCAAAAATCAAAAAGAACATCTTCTGATGAAAATACCGACTTCATAGATTTTAGTCTTAAAACAGTAATTTTTCAATTTAGTTATTTGTTTTTGTGCTTTGTACCAATCTGACGAGTCAAGCCCTTAGTTGTTATCAACACAACACAACACAACAAAAGATTCGCAGTCAACACCAAATTTTAAATGAGCAAACATATTAAAATGTGAGCAGAGGACCTTAGGTAACCATGTCCTAGTCAATTAAGATGGGAGTCGAGTGCACTCGCACGAGCGGGGTTCGAACTCACAACCTCAGTATTGACTGGCTAGTGATTACAGTAGTAACTACTTAAACCACTCGGCCACCGAGGCCCCTAATTCATTATGATGTACATGGGAGGTGTCCATTGTTATTCTGTGGTTTACATGTTGCAATGTACTATTATATCATTCATTAATGTATTTCTCTGTCCTGAGTGTTCTTGCGTTTATTTGTACTGTATTCCTGTCACGTAATGTTGTCATTTTATCGATATTTTTTACATTGCCATATAAGCGGGAAGTTTGGCCAGCCATAAAACCAGGTTCAACCCTTCATTTTTTCTTAAAATGTCCTGTAACAAGTCAGGAATATGGCAGTTGTTATCAAATAGTACGTAGGGCAATTTTATACTTATTTGGACAACAAACGATACGACATAACACATTATTCAACCGAAACCATAACAAAAACATCAAAAAATAAAACCATGAATGTTGTGTGTACAAAATACCGAGACACTTCGTATAGCAATGTAAATTCACTCTCGGTATAACAGTCATATTCGGGAATAGGTCACGTTCGGTTCTCAGCAGACAGACGACATAGATGTTAAACCACAATCTAAGACGTGGTATAAATGTCATTAGTTAGTTTAGACACAGACACATCGTATAGATACTAAACCGTCAAACTGTAATTAATGTATTTAATTGCAATCAGCTTAGTTTATCCTAAGATCACGGGAATTGGAAAGCGTACAACATGTATTGGCAATTTTCATGTAACTCTTTTTCTACGATTGAGTATAATTATTTCTTAAACTATTCTGTTTCAAAATGCTATTTTTGAAAAGGGTTCAAGAGATTTACATTTGTTATATATAATAAAAGAAAGATAGATGGGACAGCTTCAATGAGATTAACAAATATAAAATACTTGTACAAATGATATTAGTGTGTGTTATATACACGACACACACATTAGTCAGATTTATGTAAAACAATAATATGTGACTAATTAATCCAAGAAAATGAAAACTGTAGATGGCTATTTTATTTCATTTTCATATGAGCATGATGATGCAAACCATCATGATTATTTAATTATCTAATATGGAACGATTTGTACAAAACGCTTTAAACAGCAGTGCGAATATAAAATCTTCGTATTAAAGTAAGCAGTTCGATTGGATGTTAGGAATCTAGGATTGAGGTATTGATCTATATTAATATATCTATATTACATCAATGTGTTAAATCATTTCTTTGAAGATGTTGTTGCTGAGTCTACTGGTATTGTTTTTATCAACACCATCATACCGCGCTACCAAGACTTTGTATGTTGCCGGATTGTTAGAAATGTCAGATCATTGGTGGAGTAAATATGCCAAATTTTTGCCTACTTTGTTCAGATCCGCTGCGGACGAAATATCAAATCGAACGGACATTTTGGACGGATATGAATTACAATTTGTATATGGTGATACTAAGGTAAGATATATTGAAATAAGCTAAATGTATTTTTATGTTATCAGTTGAAGATATTTTGTGATTATAAAACAAGCGAGAAAACGTCTAAGAAATGTTGTTACGATATCTTTATGGGAATTTTTTTCTTGTTCTGCTCGCAAATGAAGTTTCTTCAAGTAGGTCTAAATTGTACTGAGCATTATATTATCGATTTAATTTTACAAACTATCTGTTCCAAAACATACTTCTGGGGCTTTTTCATGTGTTTTTTTTCTATTGGTCATAAACATTTCTTGAAGCTATTAAATTATCAAACATCAAATATATGTAGAGTTGTCTCATTGGCACTCATACCACATCTTCTTATATCTATTGAATGAATAGACTTAACTATTACATGTTATATGTTAGACTTAACTATTACATATTATATGTTCTGTGAACAGTTTCTCGTGTTCGAAAATAACATAGGAATAAAATGTGTTTACTCTCCGAAAATAAACAGAAAATCTTAACAATATATTATTTTTAATAGCTATGTAAAGATATTTATGATAAAATAGTTATTTGGCAAACAGTTGTTACTTACAAAATATATTTTTGACAACGTCAAAGTAAACCCACACCTAAATCGTATAAATGTATTAACGAAATAACACAAGCACCTTAAAACCGAATAACTTGAAACATTTTAAGGTTTATAGAAAATCAACAGAAGTAAATCAAGTACAAAACGGTTTAATTGAATATGTTTATACGATCATTTGTCTACATCAAGATAAGGTACTGTAGTCAGTATAAATATTTCCTCAGATTGAAACAAAGCAATCGTCGTCTGAATCCTATTATGATGTATTTCCCATTTGGTAAAAACACAAATTAAAGTTTAAAAGCTATATATCATTAATATTTGATTGAGACATAAAACGTTATATAGGAATCGAATTTAAGTACATGAAGAGTAACTCTGTGTTCGATTGTTTTTTTTTTTTTTTTTTTTTTTTTTTTTTTATAGACAAGCAACTTAGATAAATAAAGCATCCCCTTTTTTGGATATAGAACATTTCAATAAAAACAATTTAGTTTTAGAAATTAATCCCTATATTTCCATTGGAATTAAACCATGGATTTTTTTACTTTGTAATATCCCCAATTCTGTACTGCCGGATTTGATAAGAATTGCTCATAGATTGAGTTCAAACTATACAAGCAATGTAATCACAGTACTACTAAGATAATTTTGATAACAATTATTTAACAGCAAAAAAACATGAGAAATAGTGGAGATACAACACTAAATAATATTTCTCTCTGAACTAACTAGATGAATAAGCCATTTTAATTTATTGGGATTGTAGTGATAGAACAGTGTAGTATAGTACTTCTGACAAAAACTCGAAGAGTGTAGAAATCTCGTATAATAGTTGTATAGGAAGATAGATCATTGCACTTGGGTCTCAAATATATAGCTTTCTCCATTTTTTTTAAAAGTGGACATATAACACTAAAATATTCACACGACGAAATCTGTAGATTTATCTCTAGTTTGAAACCAACACATTCTCCAGTTTGAAACAAACATATTCAGTAAAACATATCTGCAGACTCAAATTAATACAATAAAAAATGAAATCTAAGGCCGAACAAACACGGTCAGCGTCAACGGTAAAAACATACTGGATATTGATTGTTTCTTAATACTTACGAAAATACTTAAATATAAAGTAACATATTCATCATATGCTATTTTATTACAATGATGTTTACAAAACTAAAATATATAAGATTAACGGAGGTTTAGAGAAATGAAAAGGCAGGCAACTCCACGTTCCTGATTTTAATAATGCTATTGATTATACTTTTAATTATAGTACTATTATTTTTTCCTATACGAAAGCCAAAAATGTAATTAATTTATCTTTCATATCTTTCATTAATAAGCTTTCAACAAATGAGTTCATCAATATAGACGAGAATCACCAATCAAAATGCAACAGTTGAAATGTGCAAGGCGATGCAGAGCTTGTCTCATTAGTAGGAGGCGTGCTTGTCGCTGTTGAAGATTTCTTCCCCGATGGTATCAATAGTCCAATAGTCAGCACTTCTGTGTTGACGTGAATTATCATTGATATGATCATAATCATAAATCAACCGGTTACATTCCTGAATTCTTCGAAATATTAAAGATATTCTACCCCAGGAATATATTACCTTAGCTGTATTACCAAAACCTTTCGGAATTTTGGGTCCTCAATGATCCTGATCTTCGGACTTTATTTGACCTCTTAAAACTTTTTTTATTTGAGCGTCGATGACGAGCCCTTGTAAACAAAACGCGCGTCTTGCGTACAAAATTTTAATCCTGGTATCTATGATGAGTTTCTTTATAACCACATGGTCGATGCCACTGCTGGTGGAGGTTGCCTCCCCGAGGGTATCATCAACCCAGTAGTTAGCACTTTTGTGTTGAAATGAATTATCATTGATATGGTCTTCGTAAAAAATTAACTGTTTACAAAACTTTGTATATTACGAAAAACTAAGGATCCTACCCCAGAAATAGATAACCTTGGCTGTATTTGACAAAACCTGTCGGAATTAGGGGTCCTCAATGCTCTCCAACTTTGTACTTTATTTGGGCTTTTTAAATTTTTGATTCGATTGTCATTCATGAGCCATTTGTAGACGAAACGCGCGTAAGACCTACATAATTTTAATCCTGGTATCTATGATGAGTTTATTTGCAATGATCTCAATAACGAAAGGCAACAGTAATTTTGTGGTTTAAATCTCGTAAATCCATTAAGAACATACAAATCAATATAAAAAACAAAACCTAAATGAATCTCACAACTCATAAAGGAGCAGCAAGACCGAGTACATGGAAAGGGTAAGCGTCTCCTGATAAACATTCATTATCCGCCATGCCAGTCTAAACAGCGTCAAAATGTCAAGAATCCAATCGGTATTATATTATTTATTTATGTGTATCTCTGTCCTGAGTGTTCTTGCGTTTATGTGCACTGTATTCCTGTCACGTAATAGTATCATTTTAGCGGTATTTCTAACATTGCCATAAAAGCGAGAGGTTTGGCTAGCCATAAAACCAGTTCAACCCACCATTTTTTTCTTAAAATGTCCTGTACCAAGTCAGGAGTATGGTAGTTGTTATCAAATAGTCCGTTTCTATGTATGTTGGCGTTTGCTTTTGTTGCAGTTCAGTGTTTCTTTTGTTCCGTTGTTTTCCTCTTAAAGTTGATTTGTTTTCCTCGGTTTTGGTTTGTGATCCGGATTTGTTTTCGCTTAATCGATTTATGACTATTGAACAGCGGTATACTACTGTTGCCTTTATTTATGTCCAGATCAGTCGTCTCGTCTGTATCTAAAGATCTAAGAACGCGAAAACATTTCTGAGACACAAACAACTTATCGGTCAACCAATTCGTTATGATGACCGTAAAACTTGTGTAGGGTCCATTTTAGACGTTCCGCCTCATAATCCTGTTGCGTCAGAAGCAGGAGGTGTATGTCGGTGGTGTTTAGATTTAAACAAATTGTTCAATGATAACTCTTAACTTGGTATGTTGGCATGTAACAGGTACTAGATATCGGATGAGGTACAAGCAAATTACATCAACGAATACATGAAACGGATAACAGGAATTACCAAAAATATTGGACAGTTTACAATCGAATTATTACTACACAATAGGGTCTACACACGACAAGGTAAAAGGCACTATAATTGTGTGTACAGAGAAATAGGAAATCATAGATACGAGGTGTTTACGGTGAACCAAAATGAAATTTAGTAATCTAAACATGCCGCATAGAACCCTCATAAAATTTGGGAGAATAGGGGAGTGGGGTATTAGTTGCAGTGGATGGGTATAACCTGTATCATTCTATAAACAGGGTGATGAAATAATGTATATATGTTAGAATAGCGTTGAAAATAGGAGACGCAATGCGGTCGTAAACATTTTTTTTTTATTTCATTTTTATACAGACTTTTCCATAATGAAATGGTATTTTGTAGTAATTTTATATATCACATTTTAGTAATTGTTGCAAACATTTGTGATTCCCAGTACCCTTGAAACTTTGTTTGGTTTTTTTGTTTTTTGTTTTTGTTTTTGTTGGTTTTCTTTTAGGTTCAAGTCTTATTTTAATTTTTGATCTTGACGGAGTATCGGTAAGTTTTGACATTACTAAAAATGATTAGATCCAGACTGCCGATAGTCATTACGTTAGATTTATAGATTTTTTGAATATTTTTGTCATAGTAACGATAGACATAATTTACAAAATATATATGTAACTCATTATGTCTTTGATTTGTCCTTTGTAGTCATTGGGGGTTGAAAATAAAATCTTGTGATGTTTGGTACATTCTTACACAATTACGGGGCCTTGTACAGATTGATTAATGCATTTTTTGTATCTGTACATCTTTTCAACATTTCAACTTATATATTCAAATTGTTATCTAATAGGCTTCAATTTGAATCATCATAAATTAATACCCATGTGATTTCAAATGATAAATTACTCTGACGAAGAACGATAATAGATATGGGTTTACATGTTGCCTCCGTTATCACTTCAAGTTGTCTCAGTCATCACGTAACGCGGGAAGTGCAAATGAACTAAATAGATTATTCATTGTTTCAGATGGTTTGAGTTTAATATAGTCTCTAAGCTAAGACATTCTTGTTAATCAGTAATTGAATTATTATATTAATCAATGTGTTGAATAAGTTGTGCATTTGTATTAATAAGATTATAACGATAGAAAGATTTGTTTCTACCTAAGGAATACCATACCCGAAACATCATACTCCAATGTTTCTCACTGATATAATGTATAGATAAATATCGAATAATTTTTAAACTAAGCATATACTAATCAACAAAATAAACGATAAACTACTTTAGAAATCAAAATTTTTTTTCAATACTAAAAACACATCAAAATAAGAACCTAGCTCAAACAAGAAGATCACTAACAGTATGGCAAA